TAATTGCCCTGGCTTTCAGCTGCTGGCGAGCCGAGCTAGCTGTTCGGCTTGCTCATTGTTGTTTCGCAGGACGTGCCGTACTTGAACTTCACTAAAGCCATCCTTGAGTCCTTGAAATAAGTGATAGTATTGCAACAGGTTTGAGTCCTTGACTTGGAAATTATCGTTGACCTGGTCGGCCACGATCTTCGAGTCGGTGCAGCATACGACTTTTTTCACACCCATTTCGGTTGCTAACCGCATCCTGGCTAGTAAGGCTTCGTATTCCGCTTGATTGTTGGATGCTCGGAAGCTGAAACGAAGGGACTGCTCAACTGTGATACCTGAAGGACTAGTAAGAATTATCCCTGCCCCACTGCCTTAGGCATTGGAGGACCCATCGACATGCATGGTCCACGGCTCGTCTTCAAAACGTCCCAGAGGAGTGAGTTCGTTGACAAAGTCGGCCAAGTGTTGCGACTTGATAGGGCCTCTTGGCTCGAAAGACACATCGAACTCTGAGAGCTCGACCGACCACGCCATCATCCGGCCGGCAATCTCTAGTTTTCGGAGGACTTTTGCAACCGGGCAGTCGGTTCGGACGATTATCTTGTGGCTTTGGAAGTATTGTCTTAATCGTCGGGCGGCATAGATGAGCCCCAAGGCCACCTTTTCTAATAGCTGGTAACGCCGTTCGGCTTCTTGCAGGGTCCGACTAATAAAATATATTGGTTGTTGATTGCCTTGGTCCTCCTGTACCATGACGGCACTTATAGAATTGCTTGATACCGCCAAGTAGACAATCATGTCTAGGTCACCGGCCGGTTTAGACAGTATCGGAGGCGTGCTAAGCCATTCTTTAAACTGCTGAAAAGATTGTTCACATTCCTGGGTCCACTTGAACTGTTCCGTTTTCTTGAGCAGAAGTAGGATGGGCTTGGCTATCTCGGCTAAGCGAGGGAGGAACCAGGATAGCGAGGTAAGCCGTTCGGCTAGTTTCTGAACCTCCTTCAAGGTGGTTGGGCTTTTCATATCCAGGATGGCTTGGCACTTGTCTGGGTTTGCCTCAATACCTCGGCTGGATAACATGAACCCCAAAAACTTGCCGCCTGAGACTCCGAACACACATTTCTCGGGGTTGAGCCTCATTTGGTGTTTCCGAAGCGCCTGGAACACATCGGTCAAGTCGCGCGCATGTGCCGATACATCACTCGACTTTACAACCATATCATCAACGTACACCTCCATGCTCCGGCTGATCTGGTCACTGAAGATTTTGTTCATTAGACGCTGATAGGTGGCTCCGGCGTTCTTTAACCCGAACGGCATCACCCGGTAGCAGTAGTTGGCCGTTTCGGTGATGAATGCAGTCTTCTCTTCATCTTGAGGGTGCATTCGGATCTGGTTGTATCCAGAGTATGCGTCGAGGAAAGACAAGAACTTGTGGTCGGATGCCCCATCAACGAGCCGGTCAATGTTGGGTAACGGGTAAGCGTCCTTCGAACAGGCTTTGTTTAAATTAGTGTAGTCGGTACACATGCGCCACTTTCCATTCGGTTTTTTAACCATGACCACGTTGGCCAGCCAGGTTGTATAATGCACTTCTCGGATGAACCGAGCGTCCAACAACTTGCTTACTTCAACTTCGATTGCTGCCTTCCTTTCTTCTCCGGCTTTCCGGCGCCGTTGAGCAATCGGCCTTGCCTCCCTGCTTATTGAAAGCTTATGGCAAAGAAAATTGGGGTCGATGCCAGGCATATCGGACGGATGCCAAGCAAACAGGTCATTGTTGTCAAGGACCACCTGCTTAATAGCCCGCTGTTCTTGTTCGGACAAGTTTGTTCCTAGGTAAGTGACTTGGGAGTCCAATACTCCCACTTGAATTGGTTGCTTGTCTTCGATGGGCTCGACCCTCTCATCCTGATCTATCTGGGGGTCAAGGTCCATTGCCGATTGCTGTGATACCGAGTGCACACCTCTCGGTTGTTTGGGTGCTTGATCGTTCATTCTTGGTAACCGCAAGCTAGCAAAATAACATTCTCGCGCGGTCTTTTGGTTAGCATGGACAGTGATTACTCGCCCCGACTCGGCAGGGAACTTCATAGCTAAGTGTGGAGTGGAGACGATTGCGCTGAGGCGATTCAAGGATGGTCGGCCGAGCAAAATGTTGTAGGACGTGTTGGCGTGGACCACCACATACTTAACTGAAACGTCTCGGTACTCAGCCCCTTCGAACCCAAACCGGGTCGACAGCTTGATGTAACCCTTCTTCTTGACTCTCTCGCCCGAGAATCCCACCAAAGGCTCATTGTAAGGAACCAGTTCAGTCTCTGGGATGCCCAGCTGTTTGAACGTGTTCCAATAGAGGATGTCGGCAGAACTCCCCTGATCGACTAAAGTCTTACGTACTATACAATTGTGAATTTCCACACTAATTACCATCGGATCGTCTTGGTCCGGGTCGATACCTTTAAAGTCAGCCTCGGTGAAGGTAATGCTTGGTAAACGACGATGGACTTTTTCGACCGCGTGTACATGCCGAACGACACGCAAGTGCCTTCGTTGTGCTGACGAAGAGGAGCCACCGCCAGCGAATCCGCCAGCTATGGTGTTGATGACTCGCCGAGGTTGTGTCGAAGGTTCCGCTTCCTTTCGATCCCTTGACCGACTGCGCTCTCTGTACGAGCGCGTTTCTGTCCTTTGTTCAGGCTGATCATGCCGGCAGGACCGATCGACATACCGGGATGAGCCCTGTTGGTCCACAAAACCTTGCAGCTGTCCTTGCTTGATTAAATCTTCAATTTTATCCTTCAGAGCCGAGCATTCCTCTGTTGAGTGTCCTCGGTTACGATGGTACCTGTATGATTTGGTCGTATCGGCCCTGGGAGGGGTCGAAGCTCTTTTCGGGACGGCTAGTACTTCTGAGGCAAGCGCTTGCTCTAGTATGGCCGATCTACTAGTATTGAGGGGCGTATATTGCGAGTACCTCGGCCTGTGAGGGGGCTTCTCGTGGGGGACGAGTTCTTTCGGACGGCTCCGAAAACTACTCTAGGTCGGCTTTTCAGGTTTAGCCGCCACCTCCGCCCTAGCCTGGTTACGGAACTCAGCTAGTTCCTCCATTTGCATGTACTTGTCGGCTCGCCGATGCAAATCGTCCATGTCCGTGGGTGGTTTCTTACAAATGCTGTTGGCAAAGGGCCCTGGCTTTAAGGCAGTGGTGAGATGGTGTAAGGCTACAGCAGGGTTCAGCTCCCGAATCTCGAGCGCCGCTTTGTTGAACCGGCTCATGAATGCCCGAAGGGATTCCTTCTTCTCTTGACGAATACTAACTAACGCCAGCGAGGTCAACTGGTGGGGTCAGCTCGTAGCGAATTGGATAGTGAACTAAGAGGCTAACGTGTTGAACGAGTCGATCGAGTTAGCAGGAAGCCGAGTAAACCAACTCAGCGCACGTCCTTTCAGTGACGTCGGGAAGATTCGACAGAGTGTCGCGTCGTCTATGGTGCTCAAAGTGACTTGGGTTAGGAATACGTCCACGTGCTCATCTGGATCGGTCATTCCGTCATACTTGTCCAATGACAGGGATTTCCAATGGTCAAGGAGCGAGGACTGCATGATGTTTGGGGTGAACGGGTGTCGATGAGCGCCGGCCGGGACGGCATGTACGATACGGCCAGGTGCCTGCACCGAAGTGTGATTGCCTGGGGCAGCGACAAAAGTGTGTGGGATGGAGGTGTGATGGGCGAGAGAGTGATACGACCCCTGAGTGTGCGTCGTCTCGGAGGGCTTCCATGTGGGATCACGGTATTGATTTTTGAGGGCGGCATTCTCTTCTTGTAACGCAGCCATCTCGCGGGCATCTTTCTCCCGTTGTTGCTTCATGGCGGCCATTTCTTCTTTCATTTGGCGTACCATCTCGGTCAGGTTTGTCTCGTCTACCGTCTCAGCATTGTCTGCCCCAGATTGGTGCTCATCTTCGGACTGGTGGTCTTCAACGTTAGTTCTCTTTGTCTTTGCCATGATTCTCTTCAACGTAGTGCTCAGTCTGCCTTTGAAAAGCTATCGGTTCGGCCCCACGGTGGGCGCCAAAATGTACCTGTCTGAGGGTACACTCGTAATCTTCTGGTGGGTAGAGGGCCGAACAAGAGCTTCAGGTGGATCTTCAGAGGGGGGAGGTACTTGCAAAAGGCACTCCGATGCTCAAGTCAGGACAAGCACGATTCTCAAGAGTAATAATTGAACAGTGACATACCTCGTTACGTGTGACTTATTTATACTACCTATCATGGGCCTGAGCGTGGTGGGCCTTCTCTGACACTTACCAAATTAGGTAATACGATGCTAATCGGCTGGTTATGCCTTAATCACGTGTTGTCCCTTATCAATCATGATTATCGTCTTAACCATTCTGGCTCTGTTGGTTCTTGGCCGAGGACAGGGAACCAAAAGGATACGGAGGATATGACTCCTTCGGTCTGGGCCTTTGGCCGAGCCGATGTAAAAAGGATTGGTTTCCCTTTGGTTCTTCACGGTCTCGGCCGTTCACTGAGCCGAATTGATGTCCGAGATGTGTCAATATCTGATAGGTCATGACGTGCCGATTCACGTGGCTGATATGACCTTTCCGGTACACATCTTAAAATTTAAAATTTATCTACACAAAAATAACAAATTTCTAATATATATTTTTATTAATATAAATTAGAGGAATCGAGAGACTTTATATCTCTAATAATTAGACATAAATAAATATTAAAAGTTGATATACTTTTTTTTTTAATATTTAAGAGTATAAAAATTTATTAAAAAGTAAAAATAAAAAAGATGATTACTAAAGTATATCTCTTTTATAATAGATATAGATATAAATAAAGAATAAAGATTTATCGGTGTTGCATGATTAAAGTATCAGTTACTTTAAAGTAGTATTTTTCAATAAATTTTAATAATTGTGAACATGTGAAAAAAACCACTTAAAATAACATTTTGTCGTATACACAAAACACGTCCATAAACACAAGTTGGACATTTCCTTTGTGGGGTGAGTGAGTGAGAAGACACAAATAAAAGAAGAGTGCCGCCACCGTTGCCCCACACCTTCTTTCCTTTGCATTTTCCTTTCCCATTCTCATTTTCATTCCTAAAACCCCTTCATTCACTATTGCATTTTCAGCTTCCATACCTCTTTCTCACAAGGTTTTTTTCTTTTTCTATTTTCATTCACAATTTTGCTTTCATTCTTGTCACGTTTTCCGGGTACCAAGTGTCACTAATAAAAATCCAAATTTTCAACCATGATTTTGTTAACTCGCAATTCACTTTGATTCTGTGAGGGAAATGGAGTAAAGGGTGTTTTCTTTTTTGTGCAGATCGAGCTTTGGGGAAGCTGAGACATCGTTTGAGTGATAACCCTTTTGCAGATCCCTCAAGGATTGTGTCATTTGTCGAAATAACATGGTTGGAACAAGCATGGCGAGCATGTTGCAGCTTAATGGGGTTCAAGGGAGTCATGGTGTAGCTCTGAGGCGGAGCTTGGTGCATTGGAGAACTCAAAGGGGGTTTTCAGCATTTGCTGCTCCTGTTTGTGGAAGGAGGGTTTGGAGCAACAAGGTGGCATTCGGTGTGACATGCAAGGCCTCAACAAGTGATTTGGTTGAGAAGAGTGTGGCTGAGAATGGGAAGGTGAGTGAGGGTGAAACCAGTTTCACTTGTGTCATGAAGTTTGGTGGCTCCTCAGTGGCTTCTGCTGAGAGGATGAGAGAGGTTGCAAGTCTTATATTGAGTTTTCCAGAGGAGATGCCTATAGTTGTTCTCTCTGCTATGGGAAAGACAACAAACAAGCTTTTGCTGGTAATTTTTTTTTTTTTTTCATTTTGGTTTTCCACTTCTTGATTTTGTGCTGGTCAAGGACTGTTGTTGAGTAAAAGGGCTGGTTTCTGTCTTGTTAGGCTGGAGAGAAAGCTGTGAGTTGTGGTGTAATAAATGTGTCGAGTATTGAGGAGCTTTGCTTTATAAAAGATCTGCATCTAAGGCAAGGGCAAAGAGTTTTCTGTTTTTGCTTTTCCTAGTATGGGCCTGTCTCGGTAACCTTCTCTAAAATACTCTTCTAGGAGAGAAAAATGGAAAGGAAAAATGAATTGAGCTTTTCATAAGCTAAAATTAGTTTATACATATGTTAATTTGTAGAAGTTCTCTTCTTCTGTTAGCTTCTCTAAAATCTTATTTTTAACTTTTTGCTGTAGTTAATTTCATATTATGGAGAAGCTCATTTTCATTTTCCTTCTTATTTTTTCTTCTAGAAGTGCTTTTGGAGAGATTTATCTAAATTTGCCCTAAGAAAATATTTGATGAAAGAAAAACCACTTTATTCTTTTTACCCCAAAAGAAATGTTACTTTCTGATTGGATGTTCTTATCTGCCTCTCAGGACTGTGGATGAGCTTGGAGTGGACAAATCTGTTATTGCAAGTAAGTTGTTTGGTTCACAATACATCATTTGATGGTTATATTGGAGCATTGGAATATTTATTTTTAGATCAAAAAGGCCTTGTCGGATAACTTCACCTGACTATTTCTGTGTATTCATTTGTGTGTAGCAATAGCACCAATGGGCTTATGGCTGTGGAACATGCATTTAGTTGATTTGTTCTATTTATGATACCTGTTTGCGTTACTGTTTGACTCTGTAATTAGTAATTTTGTCTTATGTTGTGAATTATGATTACGATATCAACATTCAAGTCTATTTTATACAAACATATCCTGAGGAAGTTTGTGAGTTGTGTTTCTCTGGTCTTATATTATTGATCACCTTGACATTAAATATGCCAATCCAGTCTGGATGTTTATGGTTTATCAGTTTGAATTAACAATTTTTTGGTGCAGCGGAAGAATGAAACACTTTGACACACAAACCAAGTTGACTTTGATGATAAATCAGAGAAATAATATTCAGATACTGCTAACAATCAAGAATCAAATTTAAATAAAGTGCATAAGAAAAAGAAAACTGAACAAGATAGAATAGAAGCTAATTATCTCATAACAAACTATTAATTAATTATCACAGATGCGCCAATACATCATAGGAATAGAACTACTTATGTTTAATGTGGAACAAATCAACTATTAACTTAAAGATTACAACAATATGAATTTACTATTTATTGACTTATGTGGATTACAGTCTGATTAGATTTTGTCATTAACTCGTGCACGATTATGAAGTAAATGAATTTTTTAATTGGTATGAGAATAATATTATAAGAGTATGTGAGAATCCATCTGTCTTTATATATTTCTCAAATAAATAAAAAAGCTAAGATTCTGTCATAGATTTTGTTTATAATGGTAACAATTACCATGGATTTTCTTTTATAAATTCATAGTTGCTGTAAGTTTTTCATTTTATTTTATCACATCATCAACTAAACAAGTTCTATCATATTCCTTCTCTTCTCAGTATGGTTGTTTTCTAATTATCAAATGTTTGAACTCATTTTTGTGGGTGAAATCCTGTTGCATGTGGAAACATTTCCAGAGCATCTAGAAGAATTGGAGCAACTTCTGAAGGGGATAGCTATGATGAAAGAATTGACTAAAAGGACTCAGGACTATTTAGTCTCCTTTGGAGAATGCATGTCGACTAGGATCTTTGCTGCATATCTTAATAAAATAGGTGTCAAGGCCCGCCAAGTATGTGTTGCTATTTTCTTATTAATACATATGATATTGTAACTAAAAGGTCGTTACTTGTTAGTACTTTTATTGCTTATCATGATAGCCCAAATCAGTGCAAGATCTTCAGATTTTTATTTGTTGTCTTTGATCATAGTGATTTATTGCTAATTTAATTGTTGGACAGTACGATGCATTTGAGATTGGTTTTATAACTACTGATGACTTCACAAATGCTGACATTTTGGAAGCAACTTATCCGGCTGTTGCAAAGAGATTGCATGGTGATTGGGTATCCGATCCTGCAATTGCAATAGTTACAGGCTTCCTTGGAAAGGTATTTATGATGTCATGTTTTTTCAATGCTTCTGTTCATTTCATTTCTTCTCCAGGATTTTGTGTTACTAAAATGCAAATTCTCTAATTAGAAAAACTTTGGGATTGTTTTTCTTCTTGAAGGCCAGAAAATCTTGTGCAGTGACAACACTGGGAAGAGGGGGCAGTGATTTGACAGCTACAACAATTGGGAAAGCACTAGGATTGCCTGAGATCCAGGTTTGTACATTGGTGCATAAAAACACATGTATGTCAAAATGGAGATGACAAGAAAACAATTAATTTCAATCACTTAAACAGGTATGGAAGGATGTTGATGGTGTCCTAACCTGTGATCCAAATATATATCCAAAAGCAGAACCTGTTCCTTATTTGACATTTGATGAGGCTGCTGAACTAGCCTACTTTGGTGCTCAGGTATCATTACATTCACTTATCCAATTCTTTTGACAATATTTATAGTTTGAAAGAAAAATGTAGTTTCTTGATGAAATATCTCATAATATCAATATTATATCTTGGAATATTTTAGAGTATCTTAGAAATTATCTCTTAGAATTAGATTCAATGTTTTGCATAGTTGTGATTATTAGTATAAGGAAAATGTTAACCAGTGCCCTTAGTAAACTGGATAAGGAATAAAAAATAGAAAGTTTCCATTATAAAGTGTGTTTGGACAATTTTCTGTGTAACTTTATTTTAGTTTTCAATGTAAACTTTTTGCGAATTGATTCCTTAACCAATGCTACCCTTAGTATAAATAGGGGTGTGTGCTTTGGGTTTTATCATCACATAACATCTTATTGTAAAACATCACAGTACACAAATAAATATTATTCTATCTCTATTCTCCCCCTCTATGCCTAAAACCCCACAATTCCAACAATTCTAGTTCTAGCTAGTTTTCTTGGTTCTGCTTCATGCCTTATCATTTACTTTATAAATGTTGTGGTTTTATACTTCTGTTGATTTTCTTTCTGTATGAAAGAAAAAGAATTATTATAGAAAGAGAAAAAAGTACAACTGTACAACGATGCAGTCCAATAAAGCGTCCTTCAAAATTGAGAAACTTAAAAACAGAGCCTACGAGGGTAAACAAATGCAACATCAATAAAAAAATCTGTTAAACCATGTGAGAATACAGGAGAGAAGCCACAAACAACATGCCATCTTCCTAAACAGAACAGACCTTGCAGATAATTCCTGTATGCCTACCATACTAGAGAACGGCAACAGTACAGGGACAAAATTCTAAGAATCTTTATTGTTACCAAAATCATTAGATGTATTACAAGAAATTGCTCTAACGTGTAGACACCCAATTTTCCCTGAACAAGTTGATCTAAAAGTAAAGTAATTCACAACAATATAAAAATAATGAGTAATGTTTTGGAGCTGCACTTGCACATAACATCCATAATGAAGAAATACCTGAGGCTGTGCAAATGTGCAACTTATCATTTAAATTAATATAAATATATGCCACAAAACTGATTTAGAAAATTCGGGACCATCAAGCTTCTGAAACTGGTTTTGCATGTTTTACTGAAGTTTTAATACTGTGAGTCACACAACACACATCTGAACATAATGCTTAGAAGCTTATTACATTCTTATTTAAACAAATGCTAACATAAGAAAGTAGAAACATTAAATAATAAAACTTATGTGCAATAACAACATGATATTATTTTACTAGGCATTATAGACCAAAATAAGATTTAACTGTTGGGGGATTGGGGCGGGAGGAGGGGGGGGAGTCCCAAATTCAAATTCCATAGCAAATTGGCAGGGAAAAAGATTGGTTGATGAGAAACTTATTCATTTTTAAGGAGTTTAAGGTATGCATCATCACAATTTTTGTTCTCGTCTCAACTCAACGTACAGATGAATGATAAAAGAACTAAAATTTCTTTATCATTGAAATAGTAGAAGCAAGGAGACAATGTTCCACATGAAGTGTTAAAATTGGAAATGGAGAAATATGTGCATTGAATAGGCTGTGGATATAGTAGAAGCTGTATACGAAGGACTTCACCTTCCCAATTGTACTACTGAAAACTAATAGAAAACTTTGTATTCGAATTGGACCAAAGGGATATATACCAGAATAGAGAGATGAGTTTCCGAGGGTTAACGAGTGATATTGACATTATCGTTATTCATTAGTCATCATGCCATTCTATCTGCATGGGATTAAATGCCTCATTCCCAGAAAATTGTTGAATTAGCATCTCTGTTCCTAATTGAATGCTTTTGCATGCCTTGTTTACTGCTTATTTTGTATAGAATGGTTAACATGAAAACATTTTTTTGGTCACTTACTAGGCACTCCAAGTAATCGGACATTTGTTCTGTTAATAAGGTTATATATTTGTTTGTGTTTATTACCTAATTTATTACTGAGTCTAATAAAGAAAAAGGTCTTATTGCTTATCACCTTACAGCTGTTTGAGGAGTATGATGTGTATCCAATGATTGTGTCTTGGGATATCTAAATAATCCCATTAAAGGCGAATCTAAATCTTTCATATCTCTGATTTCTCAGGTTCTGCATCCACAGTCTATGAGGCCTGCAAGAGAAAGTGATATTCCTGTTAGGGTTAAAAATTCTTACAACCCTAAAGCTCCAGGTACACTCATCACCAAGGCAAGAGATATGAGCAAGGTTTGTAGAATTTAGTTTTGACATAAATAGTAAATCCCATTTTCTCAAAGAAGACTAAAACAGTGTTTATAAGTTTTCCTTTTTCACCTGCAGGCAGTATTAACAAGCATTGTTTTGAAACGTAATGTGACCATGTTAGATATAGTGAGCACTCGCATGCTTGGTCAGTATGGTTTTCTTGCTAAGGTGAGAACTAATGCCTATTAGACCTGTTGTTCGAGTGGTTGAAGTTGAATCCCTTCTAGTTTTCATACCTCCACATGTATACAGGTGTTTTCAATCTTTGAAGAGTTAGGCATATCGGTTGATGTTGTTGCTACGAGTGAAGTAAGTGTTTCCTTGACATTGGATCCATCAAAGCTATGGAGCAGAGAGCTAATTCAACAGGCAAGTGTAAGACATTTGTATTATTTTGGTTAGTTTGTTAACGAGTGATGATATTTTTGCGGTGTTCTAATTTCCTTTCTTCTAGTGTCCCTGATGATCTTGTTAGATGGTGTCTATTTGGTTGGATATCATATCACCTAGTTTTAGACTTAGGCTGTTTGCTTAAGTTTCTCAAAAAGCACTTCTAGGAAAGAAAAAATTAGATGGTAAAGCAAAGTAAGATTCTTTATAAGGTAAAACTAATTTATGCACAGGTTAAAAATAAGATTTTGAAGAAGCTAATATGGGAGGGCTTCTATAAAATTGCTTATGCATAAGCTAATTTTAATTTCTGAAAAAGTTTACCCAAATAGACTTTTAAATAAACTAATGTTTGCTAAATGAACTTGTAAGTCATAATGTGCGTATTGGCAATCATCCTCTATTTTTTAGCAGGAACTTGATCATGTTGTCGAAGAACTCGAGAAAATTGCTGTGGTGAATCTTCTACAGAATAGATCCATCATCTCTCTCATTGGAAATGTTCAGAGATCATCACTAATATTGGAGAAGGTTCCGTATCATGGTCACTTTATTAAATTAGTTCCTATCCCAAGTTTCACTTTTTTATAAAGATTTAATTGTTTGTTTTTACAAATTTATAATATTACTATCTGGACATTTTCCCCCTTTTGCTGTGCGTGGGGACTGGGGATATCATTTTATTTTCCTGGAAAGCCTTGGGGGCATTTCTGATCTTGGAATAAAAAACACATGCTTTATAATGTGTTTTTAGGCGCAAATTAATTCATGTCCGCATGCAAGATTATGTTCTGCAATTAGACTTTTGTTTAGCTCCTTCTGTTGGTGACATTAGGAAATCACTGATTGACATTCTGTTGCAGGCTTTTCGAGTTCTTCGAACACTTGGTGTCACTGTGCAAATGATCTCTCAAGGTGCATCTAAGGTATCCACCTAATCCACTTTATATTATCATTCATTACATTAGCCATTAGGAATCATAGCTTTTTTTATCCCCACGCACGGCAAAGGCTTGCACCAATTGTTATTATGTGCACTTGGCATGCGCTAATGATTCCAAACTCAAGGTACCTTGGAATATATGAGTGTTATATTCACGAGAAGCGTGCTTATTGTGCATAAACATACTTATAATGTGTGTGTGGGGGGGTGGGGGGAGGGGGGTATGATCAAGCATAATTTTTGCATTTTTCATATTTGGAAAAGCCTAAGTTTTATCTATCTTAGATCATTAAAAAAGGTCACCCACCATTTATTCATGCATCAAATTTAATAATGTTAGACATGTGGGGATGCATTGAGATAATTCTAAGTCTCACATTGACTAAAAATAAAGTTAACAAATAGTATATAAGTAGAATACAATTCTCGTTTTACAAACCGGTTTAGTTAGGCTCAAACTTACATTCTAAGCCAATAGTGGTGGGTGTGACTCGTGTGAGGGAGTATATTCGAAAAAATCTAAATTCTGCTTATCCTCAACTATTAAAAAGAGTCATCTACCATTTACCCACGCATAAAGTATAATAGTGTTGAGCGTGAGGATGTATTAGAATAAACACAAGTCACACATCGACTAGAGATGAGGCTAACAATGTATATATAAATGGGGAACAACTCTCACCTGGGTTGAGTTAGTCCCAAATCTCCATTCTAATAATTCATACATAAAATTTCCCCATCCATGACCCCACACTTCAAAAATTATCTCGGCTTTGTAAACTTGTTTGTCATATTCTAGCTGAGTATTCTAAAGTAGAGGCATTCACATTCAAGTCAAGACCCTGTAATGGTTTCATTTACATGTATTAAATGTTTCTGTTTTGTTTTGTGGCAGGTGAACATCTCATTGGTTGTAAATGACAGTGAAGCTGAGCAGTGTGTGAGGGCTCTCCACTCAGCCTTCTTTGAGAGTGAGATCTCAGAGTTAGAGAAAGATTACAAAAGTAGGAATGGTTCTGTTGCTTAATTGTCTTAGGGGACAGTAGAGTGTGTCAATTCTTTGTCCTAAAGATATGTATCCCAATCTTATATGCTAATGTCAACCAAGCATTTTTGAATCCTCCTAGCCTTGGCTATTGTGATGTACTAGAGTAATGTATTTTACTTGAAGATAGATGTTAGTTAGGAGGAATGGCAAAGCATTAGTGTATAACTAGTCTCGGTATTACTAGTATAACCCCTAGTATTCTTTTGTAGCTGCTTCCAAAGGGTTAATAACCAGCTGCAAAGCGATTATTGTTGACTATATTATTTGAAATCATGATCTTTTTGCCTCAATTTATTTGTCGTATCAATTTCCAATATAGAATAATGCTCTTTGACAACAATACTTGTTTTTTTCACCAGCCGTTAGGTAGATAATAAAAAAGAATTAATTAATACTTATATTCTAAAATGACAATTGAATGATATTTTAATAGTGATTGGTAAGGAATTTGCAGAACTTATAAACTTTTTTGCTCAATTTATAAGTTTTTGTTTTGGCTAAAATATGTTTTTTTGGTACGTGAATTGAAGTAGCTTATAAGTTTAGTTTTTTTTTAATATTATTATTAATTTACTTGAAATTATTATTTTTACCTTTTTCAATTTAGAAGTAATTTTATCCATATGTTAAATGTCATTTTATATTAATAAGCTACTTTATCAATTAATTTTATTTAACATTTTTAATTTAGCCAACTAAAGTTTTCAGCTTTTTAACTCCTAGATTATAATTTATAAGTTTGTAACTAGTTTTTTTTTTATTTTAATTTTTTTAAGTAGTTTATAAGCTAATTTTACTAAACACGTTACAAATAAGTTCAATTACTTGTATGGCTTCAATGATTTCATGAATTTTCACTTTTTAGTTTTTGTAATTAAAAATGTTTTATTTTAATTTTTATACACAACTTTTTTTCTTCTTATTTTTAGTTCATATAATTGTATGAACTTTTTTTTTTAGTTATTATATAAATAGATGTTGTGAACTAAAGGAACAAAAATGATATATGTAAAAACTAAAATAAAACATCTTTAATTAAAAAAATTTAAGGTAAAGTCTACAAAATTACATGATAAAAGAGTAATTAAACCTAATAAATAAAATGAATCAAATGGACTGTCATGCACAAAGCACTAACATGTTGATCCAAGTCAGGTCGGCTCTAGGCATCGTTTAGAGGTGTGCCGTCTTGGGCCCATGATCAAGAGGGGCCCAATGTTTTTTTTTTTTGAAAAATATATATAATTGTGAAATAACTATATTACTTTTAAAAATAAAATTAGACTTAAAATATATTTTTAATATCTAAAAAATGAATATGTTTTAATTTTGATCTTTGCAATTTTTTTTGCTTATTGTTCGAAGTAAACATTATTTTGGGTCCTCATAAAATAAATAAGTTTTGATTTTGGTCTCTATAAAATATTTTTCTTTTGTTTTCATCCATCGAAGATCTAACTAATATTGGTTTGTACAAGTAGTAACAGCTTGTGGTCTTTAACCAAGATGTTCAAGGTTTGAACCCTAACCTTGGGTATGAAATAAATTATGTTGGAAGTGTGGAATACTCACCTTGTATTCACTCATAGTCCTCAACAAAGATTAATCATTATTTCCGATGTGGATATTTCGTACCAATACTATAGTTATAAAAAAAATCATTCAAAGACCTAAATTCATTGTTTTGATCCTTAATGTTCATTTTAAGGTAAATAAATAATATATATTATAAACAGTTATAATATTATTTAAGATGGTCACTTAACCTTATAATAAATACATTAGTTAAAAATGATTATATAATAATATGGATTAAAATATAATTTCAAATTTTTAGGGATGAAAAATAATATATTTATCTATCTATTTATTTATCTATCCATCTATCTATATAATCAAAATTCTCACTTTAGAAAAACTAAAAATATATTTTAACCATAAAATTATTACTTATATATACCTATTTTTTATTCCTAAATATAAAATTATGATAAAATTATAAATTCTTTTTATTGTTAGCTTTTTTATGTATTATATTCATAAGAGAGTAAAATATATTTTTGGTTTTTATAAAATATTTCAAACGATAATATAGAAGTAAATTGAATGCAAATATAATACATGTTTTTTAAATTTTTTATTTCATTATGTTATTTATTTAATATAATAAAACATTCCATTTTTAAATAACTCATGCATCTAATTTTATGTGATAAATGTTTATATTTTAAAATATTTATATATAAAAATTCATATTAAAATGTCATTAATTTGAGTAGTATTGGATTTGATCCTCTTAAATAAAGTATCAAGATAATCAATTAGATTTTCTAATAGAAGTTAATTATTGGTAAAACTGATTTTGTACCAATAACATAATTATCAAAATTATATAAAGGCCCATATTTATAATTTTGCCTAAAGTCTATAAAATGTTAGGTTTGATCCTGATATAGGTGTTACTGGACTCAGTTCCCTTAAATAATATTTCAAGTTCTATGAAAAAAAATAGTTAAATGGAAATATCCTATTAAAAGTGGTAAATAAAATTTTCAACAAAATTAATTATCAGTGTAATCAATAAATATTCTATATAATAACATGGATAAAAAAAAATCATGCACGAAGCTCCCAAGAGATTCCTTCAAGTGTGTCGAATGGAAATTTTAATGGGGTATGTGTTGATATTTAATACATGTAATCAAAGTTGCAAAAAGTTTCTCAAATATGTTCTACTGGCAACATCGCACGGTGGAATTATCACTTAAATTTTCTGTAGTAAGGAATATTTTTATATCTGAATAAATAAATTTGATTAAAAAAGTTGCATTTATCTATATGTAATTCAAATTTATTTCTATTTACATATTTTAATTATTTAATTTAGTTGTAAAAATAAAAGGTTGTTTAATATTGTGCTAGACTGGGTATCAGACCTAGGGCCCAACAAGGTTAACTGGACCTGTAGGCATTTGATTAAATTAAGTCGGACGTCTGAATTGTTGTATACGTGACTCCTTTATGTTAACTAGAAGAAAAGAAAGCATTCCATGTAAGATGTAACATTAAAATTTTTTTTAAGAGTAATTATTTATCAACAGTTTTAGAATAAAATAATTAAATATGAGTAAACATTGAATTTGGTCCCAAAAAGATAGTAGAGGTGATGAAAGAATTTTTGTGGCATGAGTCCCTAAATTTTAATTTAGTTACTCAAGTTAATCCTTTCTCTATATTCAATTACTAACTCTATTAGTCTCATGACTAATTAACATTATTGTCTTTCTCTTAGTTGATTGTTCTCTCTCCTAATTATCTAATATGGGTATAATGCAAAAGGTTTTGGTACTTTCCAATCAACAATGAACACTTCTTCATATTTAAATATTTTAACTACGAGTATTCTAGTTAAAATGAAAGGTTGTTCTTAGGTTTCATAGGGTTTCCTATAGGTAATTTTTTTTTTAATCTTAGTCATCCTTAATTTCTTCCCATGTACTAGCTATAACCACTTATTTTGGTAAACCCCAAATTTAATAATTTAGGGTTTACAATCTTAAAGTTAAAGCTAGAATAGACAAAAAAATTAAGAATAATTGAAATAGAAAAATCCAATTGTAGGAAACCCTACGAAACCCAACAATAACCTGAAGTTAGCGAAAAGATACACAAAAGGGAGGGTTGAATGTGTGTATGTGAGAACGAAGGATTTTTTTTTTTAAAACTGTTTTCAAAAGGAGACTCTTTTCTGTTTAAAAACAGTATTATCTTGAACACTTAAAAACTGTGCAACGTTGGCTTACCAAAAGATTCTTCATCCGAATGTTTATTGTCTGCACAAGGAAAACTTTTCTTAAGAGAATATTCTTTAAGATAATAAGTTACGCAAGTATGTTTTTCGTTTGAAGATAGTTGTAGTGAAAAATAAGTAGTGGACGAAGTTTTTAATATGATCTAACAGTTAAATAAAATTGCGTCTGAGAGATAGATAAACAATGCAAAGAGTTTATACTGGTTCACCCGTCCTGAGCTATGTCCAGTCTCCTTCAACTAAAGGGTTCCACTAATCACAACGGATTACAAGTATTCTCAACCACTCCTGGTCCGTCAACTTCACTCGTCGACGCTAGTATTCTTAAACCACTTTGGTTCCCCAAGTATTCTTTCATTAGCCTCCTCAGGCTTTACAAACGATAGATGTTTTGAGTGTGTATGTGACTCTCATAGAGAGGATAGTATGGTTTCTGCACTCGCTAAGGTATTCAACCTTAGTTTTACAAAGATATCTGTTTAGAGTGTGTATATAACTCTCGCAGAGAGGATGGTATGGTTTCTACACTCACTAAGATAAGTTATCTTAGTTTTTACACAAATATACAAGACTGTACAGGAAGAGATGTAAGATTGTTTTGATGTTCGCTTTTCTAGTTGCTTCACTTCTCTATTCTTCTCTTCTCAGGTCTTGATATTTATAGCCTTGTGATAAATTTTCCCGTTGTTTGAATTTGAATGTGTCCATTGAGGCGGAGCTTCCCGTTGGTGCAGATAGCAGTTCGTTCATGGCTGTGTAGATCTTTCATTTAATGCATTTGATTTTGCATTAAATGTTTGCTTGCCAAATCTGAGTTACGTGAAGTCCTTTACGTAGTTTGTTTACTTTTATGTCTGACTTCCATCATAACCTAGGTATTTCTTTTCTCTTTTCATAAATGTAGCTGCAGAGGCGTTGTCTTTTTTTTTTTTTCCTTCTGAAAAGTAGGTGTACTTGCTCTGACACTCGCAGCTTTGACTTGTGAATTTGCGCTCTTCTATTTTTCTTCTTTCTTTTCGTATTTTTTGATGACTCCGTGTGCTCTTCTTATGAATGTAGATGATATATGATATTCCTCGTTGTGAATAGTAGACTTTAGACGCTTTTCAATATTCTTCGTCTGCATCTGGAATTTGAGTCTCCGTCTAAGAGATAGACTTTGACTTTTCCTTTCATCTGGTTTGACTTCTTCGTCTTAGCTTATCCATCGTCTGATGTTTTGACTTTTGACTAGTTGACCATTAAGCTTCAACTTTGTCTTGTTCTTGACTTAGCCTTGTTTGATGCTTGTTTTGGCCTTTCATCTGCTACTTCAAGACTTCGACTGCTAGTATGCTTTGGCTTGTATCTGGCTTTTGAACAGTTTTTAGTCTTGATGTCTAATTAACCATCGTCTGATGTTTTTGTGTAGCTCATTCAGACATAGTATGTGCAATACCGCGTACTCCATTTTTCAGTTTGTTTTTATATTTATCTAAA